TACCTTCTTTTGGGCTTGGAGGATCGTCTCCTTAAGGAGCGACCACTCCCCTTGAACACCCGGCTCTCCTCCCCTCTGAGACTTCAGCGCTTCTCCAACTATCCTCCTTAGCTCGTTGAAGTTTGCCCTCCTAAAATCTAGGGCCACAGCCTGACTGCTTGCCTTTGCCACCTTGCGCTGAATGGTGAATTCCAGCAGGCAGTGGTCACTGTCACCCAGGGGGTCAAGCACCTGCAGCCCCCTCACCAGGTCGTCGCCCGTGGCCAACACCAAGTCCAACAAGGCATCCCCCCTGGTGGGGCTGTGCACCTCCTGGGTTAGATGAAGGTCCTGGACTCTGTCTAAGAACCTACGGGAGCACTCAGACCTGGCTGACTGCTCCTCCCAGCAGATGTCTGGGAAGTTCAGGTCCCCCATGACTACCACATCCTTAGCCTTCGCTACCTCGGTGAGCTGACCCAAGAATTTCTGGTCAAGCTCCTCTCCTTGGTTGGGTGGTCTATAGTAAACTCCCACCGTTAGGTCCCTTTCCCTTTAGGTGCGGAGGAAGGGGTGACAGCCCAGATCCTGATCCAGGGCCCAACTCAGCTTGGTTCCCTCCTGATCCCTGCCTGGTCCCAGCCCCAACCCCTGCCCCAGCCCCACTCCCTCCCCTCCCCTCCCCTCCCCCTGCTTCTTCCCCTGCAGATTTTCCTGCCGGGGGGGGTGGTGCATCCATGCGCATCCATGCATACACTCAGGCTCCCCCCCCCAATTTTTTTCTCCCTCTGCCTATGCCCCTACCCCACCTGAGGTGGCCTGTTGCATGCCAGAGAGTGTGTGGCACAGATGCTCCCCAGGGACAACTACTGGCAGCACAAGGTGCGCCATTGCTAGTTGTTCCTGGGGAACCAAATGTCCACATTCGTCTGGACACATCCCTAAGGACTGGACTGATTGCTTCACTGATGTTAATGCAAACTTTGTCCTCTATACGGCTGGGTTTATACTTACAAACTTTTTGTCAAAGACCTTAAAAGATAATCTTAAATAAGGTGCAATAAGTCAGCATCACAAACAATGGAGCTAAAGATGAAGACGGACAATAAGTTAGAATAAGGGGATCACAGATAAAAGGAGAGAGAGAACTGAAGAGAAAGAGCGACAATAGAACAGGCACACAGAAAGACTGAGACTACACGGTGAAGGCAGGGGATCTGGCAACACACATGTTTGTCATACAGGGACAAAGGCGGCAAGTAAAATCAATGGTGACAATGAAAGAAGTGATAGCAGAGAACTAAACATTTGTACATGAGTACATTTCATTGGACATGAGAGGACAGGAAGGGCTAGGGTATATATCCTGAGTTCAGAGGTATCATCTGGTGGCAGGAACTGGAACTGAGCTGGTGAGAACCAGCACAGCAGTTTAATAATGTGTCAGATATGAAGTGGGTGGATGGACCTTTTTTTCTTACAACTGTAACCCTGGTCCTATGTGGCTGGAAGTTCTATGTGCAGTACATCTGGAATAGGCCCCATAGATGGGAAAAACAGATTAAGTGAGCTCATTACTGCACTTTAGATTGAGTGAAG